ATACTTTTCCTTTAACAGTAGAGTTGTGCCGGATTTATCTCAGTGGTGCGCAACTGTGGGTTGCGATCCCTCTGGGGGTTGCGAGAAAATTTTTTAAGGTCGCCAAATTCAAAGATATCTATTTGACAATAGAAATTGTAAGGCTTTTCTTCAACAAGTACAGGTAGCAGTAAAACAGTGAAATTATTTATAAAAATATAGTAAACTATCTGCAATTGCTTGCTTCGCTGGGTTGTTCGTACATTCATATGTAATATAGTAATATAGTTTTATATATATATATAAAAGATTGTTTCTCTTCCTCTACATAATCTTTCTCTGATTCGATGTGTTTCCCTATAATTTTCAAGTTGCTCTTCTGTCTGATTATTTCTGTTTTGTTGATAATATTCTTGTAGCAATGTTAGACATACTTCTCTTTCTTCCGTGGTTTCATTTGTCCACGCCATCTTTTGCCTTTGAGATATGATTTGAGACCGCAAAATTTCTTTCTTGCACTTTGGCTTTTTTTTTATTATTATTATTATTATTATTATTATTAACTTATTAACTTATTAATGAAATGTCTATTAGTTGAACCACATTAAAATGGAAATATTATGAAACTATGTAAGTTAATGATCTGTTTGAAAAAAGTTTTTTTTCTTTTTAGGTTTAGATTCTATGCAACAAGTAGAAAAGTGTAAAATTTCAAAAGCATCTGCTCCATCGAAAAGGTAATTGTAGTTTATTAAATAATAATCTTGTTTTGAATTTGGTGTAAACATTTTTCAACTTTAACCAAAAGAAATTTTGATTGTTATTTTTATTTTTATAATAATGGTGTTAATAAATTTATAATTTTATATTCATAAAGACTGTTGTTTAAATTTATTTTAATTTGTATTCATTTAAAAAAAATAATTTCAGTTATTTATCATAGATTAGGGGTCCCCAAACTTTTTATCCTGTCGATCCCTTTATAGAATATTTGTCTTCTTATCAACCTCCAGATTATGTATTTAACAAAAACATTAAATAATTTTTGCATTTCTGATGTTAAGCGATAAGGAGACCTGCATAACAACCCAACAAAAGAATTTATAGTTCCCATTTCTTATAAAATCCACCCAATAACATTAACAGAAAAAGGAGATGTTTTCCACTGATTTATAATCTTAAAAAATAATAAATGATGGATAGATGGAAATTTGCCTATAGTTCTTAAATTGTACGTGTCATAATACGTAAAATACACAATTATCTTTGAAAACATAGCATAACTTTTTATTAAAATAGTTGATATTAGTGGGATGGATGTGTCTGAAGAGAAACAGCAAGATTATTGATATTTGGTTGAAAATTGGTAAGTTTTAGTCGCAAATCACCACGGTTTTCCAAGTTCAATCTATTCCTCTGTTTTGTCAAAATTGCATTCGCGTGGCTAAAACCAGCTTCAACCATGTATGAAGTTGGGAATGCAAGTAAGAAAGGTTTGACTTCTGCTCTAAGCTTGGGATATTTAATGGCCGTATTGTTATTGCTCTAAAATTCACTGAGGTTTTTATTTTTAAACAACGCTTTAGTTTCGAGATCTACACATATTTCACTCAGTTCATCTCTTAAGCCAGGTTCACTACCTTCGTTATCTATTTTTACATCAAATAGATTAGTAAACCATTCGGGAACATGCATATTCTCTAAGTCTTCGAAATGTGCTTTAAAGTCTTCTCTTAATTTATCAAGATATTTAATATATATCTCCAAATCACAGTCGGAAATCTTTTCATTTTCTTTCTTTCATCTCCTCCCCGGTTCATATGGAGATTATATTTTCATTTCTTTTAGTATTTGCAAGTTTGAAAAATATTTAAAATCAGATTGCGCCAGAGAAAATTTAAATAGCTCCATTTTTACTTGAAAGGCCATTATGATTGTTCGAGCATGAACAATTGTAACATTTTTGCCTTGCAAATGCTTCTGTACTATATTAATGATTTTCAATATGTCACGATATTTTCTCTGTAAAGGACAAAATATCTACGTTTAGATATAAAATACTTAGAGTGACAACCCTACTAGAGTGTAACAGTGCAACGTATGTCTGTGTATAATGAACTAACATGTTTGTAACACTAGTACAGTTGCCAGATGCGTGAAAACAGAGCAACACATGCTTAAAGCCGCATAGGCTAAGGCAAAACTGAAGTTATAACTAGGGTAGTCAGTAATGTTGTTGATCATATCCATATTTTGAATTTTTATTGGAATGTTCTATTTTTTTCCTAGACAGTTTAATTGATCCTCTTTGGTATTAATCGACCCCTGGAGAACTTTTATCAACCCCTTGGGGTCAATATCAACCACTTTGGGGACACTTATCATAGATTTTTACATATTTTTTTATTTATATTTAATATGTATGTTAAGCCCAAAGATCAAAAACTCTCAGAAAAAATGACTGAATGCATTATGGCTTTACAGAAACAGCCACAACAAAAAATTTTGTATCTTGGGTTGCTTATAAAGAACTATGATGTGTTCTGGCAATTTAAAATTTGCCTTGATATGAAATTTGTGTTGGGACTGTTAAAAAGAATGACCACAATGTATTCTAATATCATCACCATAACACAATGCATTGTTGCAGAAACAACAAGAGGCAGTTTTATCTACAATGATCTTCTGTCTTAGCCTCACTGATGAATTCAAAAACAAGTCATTTGTTAGTTTTGATATGACATATCAAAACTATTAATAAGACCCAGATTTGTTCATTGGTGAACAGATCTAGGCTTTATTAATGGAGCATTAAAGAAGGCCCCTTGAGTTCTATCTCACAATGAATTTACAACTGCTGACAACAACTTTGTTGACATACATGATATGCCCTCAAGTTTACTCTCTCTTTAGTCAGTCTCAAATATAATATCTGAAAGGAAGCAGGACTTTGTAAGCTACAACTGTGAGAGGTAATGCATCAATAAAAACTGCAAATGTTGTTTGAAAGATATCAACTATGATTTTAAGTATCATTCTAACAGTTCCTGCAAAAATAATTGAGTTTTGCTGCTGTTAGTCATATTTAGTCATATATCTTAAATTCTGTGTGCTGTTACTGAATAAACAGGAAATAGCTATGATGCATTGTGGTCTATAGATAATGCAGGAATGTGTTGTAATTTTTTAATAATCCTAACACAAATTTCACATTACAATATTCTTTAAAATCCAGAAGTTCTGGCTCTTTGTATGCAGCAAGGGAAGACAATTTCTTGCTGTTTCTGTAAAGTCATAATGTATTCTAGTTGTTTTTGTTCATTGAGTATTTTTGGTCTTTGAGTCTGACATGTATATTAAATATAAATAATCTTTCGCATTGTCAGTCATATACTTATTTACAATATTCATAAGACTGATAAATTGGATATCTACAATATAGTAATCATGAACCTTTAATCTAACGAATCAATAAATTGAAAAAAAATTTTATTAGCCAAAAAAGAAAACACAAACAAAAGCACACTTAATGTAGATTATTGTAAATAATGGGAAGTACAACACTCATTTTTTTTATTATATATATAGTATACTATTATATTGTATTTAAATTTATGGGCTTATCATACATATGAGATACTATTATACTATTTAGACTATTTTATTTACATATCCCAAAATGCATTTCAGCATTACTTAGCCATCTTCAGTTGGACATAGGCCTCTAAAACATAGGAAATTGTTTTGAGACAATACAGAAATATAACATCAACATGCATACAAATATGTTTAAATAATTGACATCCAGTTAAAATATGGCATTTACAACTATTAAAAGCACATTAGGATTTGTGCCAATGACATTTAACCAAACTAAACCATCAATACATTTTAAAATCATGACAACATACCATTCTTTAAGTGTACAATACATGATAAAATAATGCACAACATTTAAAATGATCTTTCCATATAAGTATTATAATTCACAATATTTCATAATCTTGAGTTATAGTATATTCATGGATTTTTTCCCCCTTGGTGTTCCTGTATACACTGTAATAAGTGAATTCAAAAGGTGCCATTTGGGTGGTGTATTCTTCAATAAACCTCAAGAAACCATTATTTCTACCTAATTTTTTGAACACATTATTTTTATAGTAATATAATCTATGTACAGCATGACACCATTAGTGTAATTCAAAATCAATTTGTTTTTAGTTCTCAATTTCATTTAAACTAGGGTAATTTAATTTTTTAACTAATTTATGATATTTTTTCTTGTAATAAACACTGATTACTATTTTCATCATTATCCAATATGTTGTTATTATTTGTTAATGTTTTCCTAATTTTCCTTAATTTTTTCATTCTACATTTCTTATAATTAATCACTGATTTTTTTAAAAAACTTTTATTCTCAGTAATCTGTATATTGTGTTTTTGTATGCATCTAGTTATATATCTCAGTAATTGCAAAGTTCTCAATGTAATATATTTTCTTAAACAAGTCATGAAGTACCGTATGTCCATATCCATACTGAGTCTATTAATTTCTCTGTCTAATGTCTCAATGGATATAGACATATCAGAAATACAGTATACAATATTAAACCACTTCTTGCCTAATTATATCTATTAGTATAATAAATGAATATATATGTCTTGGCAAGAAGTGGTTTAATATTGTCATTTTTTTTTGTTAAAAATTTTGTTATGGACCACTAAAAGTGCTCATTTTTATATTTTGCAGTAAATAAAAACAAAATTTTAATATCAAAGACAGCTGTATTTCTCAATATTTATTAGTCATTAAAACAATTAGTGATTGTCCTGTACAATGCTTATTGTAATCATAGACATTGTTATTAGTCATTTAGGAATTAGCATTATTTATCAGTTTCAGTTACTATCTTTAGCTAAACTGTGTAAAAAGACAACTTAACTTAAAAAATTAAAGCTATATCAATTATAGTAAAATAATAGTGTGTAATATTTTTAAATGTAATAATAAAAAATTTTCCAATGATCCCAAACAATCCATAATAATAAATTGGCCTCAGATAAATGAAATAGTTTCATCAATCAGTTTTAATGCAAGCATTTCTGACCTGATTAATAGTAACTAGGTTTTGAATCAGCTTTTAAAAGATTCAGAAATTGATATACATTGACAGTCTTAATGTGACTAATGAGATACTATAAAATCTTTAACTATCAATTTGATTAGTATGATGATCAATATGATTTTCAATTTGAACCTTTATTTTGTATTTTAAAATTAAAATTTAGTTATCAAAATATCCAGTAGATAATAGTGACAATTAAAAGTATTAGCCAGTTTTTATGTAAATTAAGAATGTAATTAGTAGTAAATTAGTATATCTGAATTTGTGAAATATACATTTAACATTTCTCCATCTTATTATTCAGATAGACTATATCTGTATAATAAGATGGTGAAATGTTAAATGTATATTTCACAAACACAGATTAAATACATGTTTATCAATAAGCATTGTTTATCAATAAGCATTGTTGAAATTTTTCAGTTTGTGTTACATATATATTTAGTGTATAAACCATATTAAATTGAAGGCATCATAATAAATTCTGAATAAAAATACAAACTAAAGAAATAAAACAGTGGATTAGTTTATATAATAGAAAAGTTTGGTTTTATACATATCTACAGACTGCACTTCAAATCTGATAAGAAAACATTTCAGTATAAAAT